AACATTCTCTTCACTTAAAGAGATCCAGTTCAAAATTTCACTTGAAAAAATGCAATAGATCATGCACATTCAAGCTAATTCAACATTTTTGTTTCGACTTAAGTGTATGTATCAGGGCCTGTATTGTATGGTGTACTTGAACACGTATGTGAAAGGAGCACAATAAAAATGAGTATAATAATAATAATAATGATAATAAATATTCTGTGCTTTGTGCACTTTTTTTTTAAAACAACGTTTTTTTTTTGTTAGGTCAAAACTAATGAAGATCAGCAGAAATATTTGTATACAATATGATATCCAAGGCTAGTACTACCAGAAAGAAAATTATAATGCTGGTTTCTAGATTCATTAAGATGATAACTTTTGCCTGCTGCAAAGGGATCAAGGTTTCATAACTTTATGGATTAACTATTTGATAAAATGTGCAAGGTTAGCAAGAGTATTCATGATAAATACAATGAACAATAAAACACAGCAAGATGTAGAACATGCAGTCAAGGACTTTTTTGACATTACATGTATTAATATGTAATTAAATGTATAATTGACAATTGATTGTATGGTAGTTATCAGCCATTTCTCATCCTTCAAAACCACTTGATCTTTTCCTTCTATAAGTACCTGTCAAATTATATTCAAATTTCAACTTATATATTATTAATATCATCTTCATTTCTGCTGACTGGCAAAACTGGTTCATGTACATTTTTAAACTATCATTCCAAAAATAATACAGCTTTTTAAATAGAGTTATGCAGATATTTAAAATGTTGATGATGTATTTTGAGAAAAGTCTAACTCTACCTAAAGAAAACTTGTAATTAAATGGTTGATTTAGTTCGGGAGTCAAAATATTGAAATGGGTTTAATTGTTTTTGGCAACATGGACTTTTGATAGTATGCCAACCTCATCAAACGTTTTTGATTCATTAGAAACAAGTTATCAAGATTTGGTGTGTCATAAATGTAATGATGTTTCAATCTTTTATGTTACATTACATATGAATTACAACACATGGATTTATAATAACTTATTTCATAAATCACCAAACTATGCTTCCAAGGATCAACAGAAAGTTTGATCCGATGTTGAATCATGTCACATGCAGTATCATATAAATCTTAAACATAAGCAGCTGCTCTACCAGCCACATGATTGTGTGATAGTATAAGCAAGTATATGAAACTGCAATTACCAAGTGACATCACATAATGTTACATCAATGTTACGTAGCATTGTGTTCAGGTTGCTGAATTTTTTTTCTGATACTGTGTGTTTAAAAGATTAGGAATCATCTGAAACAGGACCAGCTACTAAAGCCTGTAATGATGACTGTGATAACCATTAATTTGTTCATTCTTTTCCATAAAATTTTCTGCTGAATGATTGAAAGATGTCTTTGATATCTGTTGGCTAGATGTTGCTTGTTCCATCTCTATTGTAAAAGAGTCTAAATTGCTCAAGAATTTAGAAAAATATTGCAGTTATTAATAATCAGAAAGCTGCAAAGCAGACACAGTAATGATAAGAGACTATTAGATAGAATGAAACCAGGTTAAAAAACAGCTGATATATTTTTAAAAAATGGCATTTTCTCGTGTTATCTTTACTAAATATAAATAGGTATAAAAATAGCTGGAAATATGTTATATCATTTCAGAATCTGATGAAAAATGATGAAGTTACATGCTGCTCTTAATTTTTATTGAAATTAAGGTTATGTTAACAGGAGAATTAGTGTCAGCAAATTAGAAATTTTTCTTTAATTTTATGGATAAAAATTGCAATTTGTTTTAATTTTCCATGTCTAACAGAAATCTTTTTCTTCTTGTAGTTAAGCCTTTTACAATTTTAAGATTTGAATAGATATTGTTAAAGTAATTGGTAAATTCAACCAAATCTAAAATCAGCTTTAGTGATAAATCAATTTTTTAAACGATTTTAAAATCATTTTGATGTATATAATTTTTTGCGTGGCACCAAAAACATAAAATATTGAACGCAGCACTGAATGGAAGAAAAAGTTAACTTCCTGCTCCAGATTGATGGATGACCTACTGGTAGGCCTATGTAAAAAAATTTGTAATGCAAAGTATTATTTTTATCAAGAAAAAAACAAAACACTTTGGTTATTTTGATAATAGATAGTTTTTGAGATGAAGTGGTCAAGATGCCTCATTTATCAGAAAACTTGTTAAAATGACCAATGGTCAGTTGGTGGCCATTATTTATAAAGTGTGTGAGAATACTGGTTGAGATGTAGAGTGGACAATGACACTGATCAATGATATGTCAGAAGGAGTTAGACAGGGTGTCCTGCTATCCCTTTATTTATTTACCTTATTAATAGATAGTACAGGTAAAATCTTTTGATTTGGTTGTTATGTTAGGAGATATATTTCTGTTTAGATTAGACATGTCTCTATTGGAGTGATAAGATTTGAAGACATATATGACCTGTTCACAACTTTTATAGATTCATCATTATTGTTCTGATCTCTTGTACAACAGCCAGTTTTTCAGGATTTATTGGTAACTATTTGTACATTCAAGGCACATTGTAAACTGTACATAAAGTACTGTTTATCAAGGTACAGCTTGGTAAACATTCCATGCCAAAAAATACAATGTACTTGAATATAGTACATGTAGTAATGGAGATTATAATGTAATTGAATTTAGTACATGTAGTAATGAAGATTGCAGTGTAATTAAATGTAGTACATGTAGTAATGGAGATTATAATGTAATTGAATGTAGTACATGTAGTAATGGAGATTATAATGTAATTGAATGTAGTACATGTAGTAATGGAGATTAGAATGTAATTGAATGTAGTACATGTAGTAATGGAGATTACAATGTAATTAAATGTAGTACATGTAGTAATGGAGATTAGAATGTAATTGAATGTAGTACATGTAGTAATGAAGATTGCAATGTAATTGAATGTAGTACATGTAGCAATGGAGATTATAATGTAATTAAATGTAGTACATGTAGTAATGGAGATTAGAATGTAATTAAATGTAGTACATGTAGTAATGGAGATTACAGTGTAATTGAATGTAGTACATGTAGTAATGAAGATTACAGTGTAATTGAATGTAGTACATGTAGTAATGAAGATTACAATGTAATTAAATGTAGTACATGTAGTAATGGAGATTAGAATGTAATTAAATGTAGTACATGTAGTAATGGAGATTAGAATGTAATTAAATGTAGTACATGTAGTAATGGAGATTATAATGTAATTACATGTAGTACATGTAGTAATGGAGATTACAATGTAATTGAATGTAGTACATGTAGTAATGGAGATTAGAATGTAGTTAAATGTAGTACATGTAGTAATGGAGATTAGAATGTAATTAAATGTAGTACATGTAGTAATGGAGATTACAATGTAATTAAATGTAGTACATGTAGTAATGGAGATTACAATGTAATTAAATGTAGTACATGTAGTAATGGAGATTACAATGTAATTAAATGTAGTACATGTATTAATGGAGATTAGAATGTAATTGAATGTAGTACATGTAGTAATGGATATTAGAATGTAATTGAATGTAGTACATATAGTAATGAAGATTACAATGTAATTGAATGTAGTACATGTAGTAATGAAGAGTACATGTAGTAATGAAGATTATAATGTAATTAAATTTAGTACAGGTAGTAATGAAGATTACAGTGTAATTAAATGTAGTACATGTAGTAATGAAGATTGCAATATAATTAAATGTAGTACATGTAGTAATGAAGATTGCAGTGTAATTGAATGTAGTACATGTAGTAATGAAGATTACAATGTAATTGAATGTAGTACATGTAGTAATGAAGATTATAATGTAATTAAATGTAGTACAGGTAGTAATGAAGATTACAGTGTAATTAAATGTAGTACATGTAGTAATGAAGATTACAATGTAATTGAATGTAGTACATGTAGTAATGAAGATTACAGTGTAATTGAATGTAGTACATGTAGTAATGAAGATTATAATGTAATTGAATTTAGTACATGTAGTAATGAAGATTATAATGTTATTAAATGTAGTACAGGTAGTAATGAAGATTACAGTGTAATTAAATGTAGTACAGGTAGTAATGAAGATTACAGTGTAATTAAATATAGTACATGTAGTAATGAAGATTACAGTGTAATTGAATGTAGTACATGTAGTAATGGAGATTATAATTTAATTGAATGTAGTACATGTAGTAATGAAGATTATAATGTAATTAAATGTAGTACATGTAGTAATGAAATTATAATGTAATTAAATGTAGTACATGTAGTAATGATGATTATAATGTAATTAAATGTAGTACATGTAGTAATGAAGATTACATTGTAATTAAATGTGGTACATGTAGTAATGAAGATTTTAGTGTAATTGAATGTAGTACATATAGTAATGAAGATTATAATGTAATTGGATGTAGTACGTGTAGTAATGAAGATTACAATGTAATTAAATGTAGTACATGTAGTAATGAAGATTACAATGTAATTAAATGTAGTACATGTGGTAAAGAAGATTATAATGTAATTAAATGTATTACATGTAGTAATGAAGATTATAATGTAATTGAATGTAGTACATGTAGTAATAAAGATTATAATGTAATTAAATGTAGTACAGGTAGTAATTAAGATTACAGTGTAATTAAATGTAGTACAGGTAGTAATGAAGATTACAGTGTACTTAAATGTAGTACATGTAGTAATGGAGATTACAATGTAATTGAATGTAGTACATGTAGTAATGGAGATTACAATGTAATTGAATGTAGTACATGTAGTAATGAAGATTACAATGTAATTAAATGTAGTACATGTGGTGAAGAAGATTATAATGTAATTAAATGTATTACATGTAGTAATGAAGATTATAATGTAATTGAATGTAGTACATGTAGTAATGAAGATTATAATGTAATTAAATGTAGTAAATGTAGTAATGAAGATTATAATGTAATTAAATGTAGTACATGTAGTAATGAAGATTACAGTGTAATTAAATGTAGTACAGGTAGTAATGAAGATTACAGTGTAATTAAATGTAGTACAGGTAGTAATGAAGATTACAGTGTAATTAAATGTAGTACATGTAGTAATGGAGATTACAGTGTAATTAAATGTAGTACATGTAGTAATGGAGATTACAGTGTAATTGAATGTAGTACATGTAGTAATGAAGATTACAATGTAATTGAATTTAGTACATGTAGTAATGGAGATTACAATGTAATTGAATGTAGTACATGTAGTAATGAAGATTACAGTGTAATTGAATGTAGTACATGTAGTAATGAAGATTACAATGTAATTGAATTTAGTACATGTAGTAATGGAGATTACAATGTAATTGAATGTAGTACATGTAGTAATGAAGATTACAGTGTAATTGAATGTAGTACATGTAGTAATGAAGATTACAGTGTAATTGAATGTAGTACATGTAGTAATGGAGATTATAATGTAATTAAATGTAGAACAGGTAGTAATGAAGATTATAATGTAATTGAATGTAGTACATGTAGTAATGGAGATTACAATGTAATTGAATGTAGTACATGTAGTAATGGAGATTACAGTGTACTTAAATGTAGTACATGTAGTAATGGAGATTATAATGTAATTAAATGTAGAACAGGTAGTAATGAAGATTATAATGTAATTGAATGTAGTACATGTAGTAATGGAGATTACAATGTAATTGTATGTAGTACATGTAGTAATGAAGATTACAATGTAATTGAATGTAGTACATGTAGTAATGGAGATTACAATGTAATTGAATGTAGTACATGTAGTAATGGAGATTATAATGTAATTGAATGTAGTACATGTAGTAATGAAGATTATAATGTAATTGAATGTAGTACATGTAGTAATGAAGATTACAATGTAATTGAATGTAGTACATGTAGTAATGGAGATTATAATGTAATTGAATGTAGTACATGTAGTAATGAAGATTATAATGTAATTGAATGTAGTACATGTAGTAATGAAGATTACAATGTAATTGAATGTAGTACATGTAGTTATGGAGATTATAATGTAATTAAATGTAGAACAGGTAGTACATAATATAAGAGAATAGTAGAGAATATAATGTACCCACAAACACATCATGTCATTCACTAGTATCCTTGTACAAGATAAGAACAGAAAGAATTTACAATCTAGGGTGTGAATTCACACCAGTTTTATATCCAAATGGAATTTAGAACAAATGTGAGGTTGTGTTTATTTGTCTTTTTACATGTCAAACTGATGTCTGAGGGCCAACCTGGGGTGAATTTGTCTTAGATCTCATTTTTAAATATGTGACTTCTCACAAGTTAAGTTGAGATAGGGCTGACCCCATGTCTAAAAATATATCTATTTTATATGATAAATGTATTCAAATTTCTAAATACACAGAAATTCATAATTCACTTTTTGACAGGAATACTTATTAGAAATGGGTATTTGGTATTATATGTTCAGATGTGTAAGTTTAAGATAGATTTGATAAGGGAGAAATGTAAGTGTGTCAATAAAAAGCATGTATATTTAGTATAACTATGTCTTGTGCAGTATACGTATCAGTTTTGCCAAGCCTTCATGTTTGAAGAAAATGTTAGATTTCTTAATTCAATACCACAATTTTATTTTGGTTCACTGAATTTGTATCACAGAAGTACAGCTTTCACTTCGTATTTTTTATTCAGGATATCTTTCTTCCGTTTCCAAGTGGAAATAGTTGGTCTGTAGTCTGTAGGTTCAGTATGCTGTATCATCAGAACTAAGTGTATAACTAGTTCTAGGTTTGCTTTAGTGAAACAAACTGTTTTAACTGATAAGAATTTTAAAGTTTTCTGAACCTTTATGTACTAATAATTATTAATGTTTAAAAGATAATGACAATCTTATACTTAGAATTTAGATATGCGCTAATTTCATCACTTGAAAATTTGTAAAAAACATGATTACATAATGTGATATAGTCTGCATTGATTATTATTTCTCTAATAACAAATTACATAATATACCTTGGCAGTCTGTATGGGAAATTAAATTTCTATTTGTTTGTAGATCTGCCTAGTGAGTTTGGAAAGTGGCTGTAGGTCAATCAATTACCCTAATGTCTTATGATGTCATTTGTATCATTGACATTGAGTCTGGATATCAGAAATGTCAGCATAGTCCCTTATAATCCAGTTGTTATTCATTGACAGCCTTGACCAAGAATTATCTGTCTGTTACGTTTTCCAGAAATAAGAGCTGTAAGGTTCCACAAGAACTATGTTGTGTTGGTCTAACTAAAAAAAGACATCACTATTGCAAATAGGCTGAAGTCAGGCATAGGCTAGTGTTAGGCAGAAAACTAGTTCAATTTCAGACACTATATTACATTGCCAACCATCCTATTGAAAGATAAGATAATAATGTCTACAGTTCCATTTCAACTTCTGCATCATTTACTTTCTAATTGATATGGGTGTATAAAGGTGCTGACTTCTGAGCAGCATCAGTAAAATAAGATGTGTGATACAGACCACCTTGTCTGAATTCACAAAAGTACAACAGATCATTACTAAGCTAATTTTTGTTCAGCAGTATACAGCCTAAAATATGTAGAATAAAATAAAATTTGCAGTGAATTTGTTAAAAAATGCCAAAATATGGCCTCATTTAAATATTTATCCACAGCGACATCAACTCTTCAAAAACTTCAGTTAAATGCAAGTAAATGTATGCCCAAATAATATACTAGAAAAATTCAACTGATACCATTTGTATGTCCCATGTTTTCACACCATTTTAGAGACCCAACTGAGCATCACTGAAAAATGGTGTATTTGGAAATTTGTAAATGAATATCCTAATATCCTGTTGTCTGTATATAAAACACAGAAACCTTAGTCTTAACTCTGAAAGGTGCTGACTTCTGAACAGAAGCCGTAAAACAAGATGTCTGATGTAGACCACCTTGTCTAAGATTTACACCAATATTTCAATTTGTGTCTTAATATCAGCCATTTGTTTATTTATCTTTCAATGAATTGTATATATCAAATAATCACAATTGTCAACAGGGAGATAAGAAAACTATAGGATGCATCCTTTCAGTACAATCAATTCAACAAAGGTTATCTGGTAGTCAAGGTCATGAAGAGTCATCTCCCCTTCTTGAAGATAGTCGCTTTGTGTCTGATGTAAATATCTCAATCAAACTTCAAAGATAAACAGATTATATCTTCCTAATTTTTGAATCTCTGTTGTCAATTGGAGTGATAAAAGTGGATTAGTTTTATATGTTTGTCACTTTGTGGATATTTGTGATAAGTCTAAGTAGTTAAGCAGTCATATCAGCATCTTACTCAGCAGGTTGTGTTTCCTGTTGTGATATGTGGAGTAGAAAATTTGAAGATATTAATGATGATTGTTTCCTATCACACCCTGTATTGATGGATTTTATAACAACAATTATCATGAAAAATTGTTATGACCCTTTCTCTACTTTGATTATAAAATTTTCACAAATGGTCTTTGTTTTTCTAGGAAATAGTGTTTGAATTATTTACATACTTGTTTGTTTACATTAAAGTAAATAATGATCCTATTCATATATAAAATCATTATGAAATCAACTTTCAAATTATTTAACAATAAACTGTATCATGATAAAGAATTAGGTTAAGACAAGAGTAACATCTTCAAACCAGTTCCATGAGGAAAGTATTCTGATCTATTTCAGCACTTGATGTATATTGCTATCTTTTGAAGAATACTTTCATTTCAATTTGAGTGACTTTTAATCAAAACTTTTAACTAAATTGATTTACTTCTGGCCGTTATGATAATATTAAATGTTTCTAGTCCAAATAGTGGAACAATTTTCAAACTTTGAGTTTTGGCATGAAGAGATATAACATACCCTTTCTAATTATAATTATCATTTCTTAGATATATCAATCTATGTATATGGCAACTAGTCTACTGACACAAGGACATCTTGGTAAATTAGTTATGATCAGAAGGGATGAAGAGATCTTGCATGAAATTCCTTCACTTGGTCTGCACATCTTTAAATAAATTCCATATAATTCTTCCTTGTCATAAAAAAGAAAATTGAGAGGGCCCATTAATTTGCAATAGATTAAATGCATAAATAACCCAGTCATCTCGATCTAAGAAGATATAAATATGAAGAGCAAACTTGATGGTTTATAAATATTCTAGAGAATTTCTCACACTTTTCTTTCATTATCAACATTAACATTTTATATAAACAACTTTCATCTTATTATATCACAAAAAATATACTTGAATAAATGTTGTTTTAATATCAGTTCCAGGGCAATATTCAGTGCATAATAGGAATAAATATAGCCAACTATAGCCAATACAGTTGGTGAAATATTCAACACTTCATCATCACAAACATATATCTTGGGAGTTCTGAATGTTTCTTCTAATTTGATATATCCTATAAAAATGTGTAAAAAATGATAAAGATTACAGCAATATATTATTTCTTCAAGACAACATTCAGTGTATATAAATACAGCTAATTAACATAACTGTATTTATAACAATTTGTTATCACAATGCTGCTTTTTTGATGCTCTGAAATTTCGATGCTCTTAATTTTAGAAGCTCTCTGAATTTTCAGATCATCTGAAGAATAAGATTCAACCAAGATTTGGACCAAAAAGAAAAAAAAAATTTTAAACTAATAATTACTAAGAAAAGTGACTATTTGATATTTTTTTCAATTGTCTATTAAAAATGCATTATCATATTTGATTTATTTTATCTTTTCAGAGAGGAATGATCCAGGTGGATGGTGAAAAATTTTTCATTGGACCAATGAAAATGAAATCTAGTTTCAATAGTGATAATATTTATAATGTAGATAATGTATTAAATAATCAGCATATCATATATACAAATTCTGATCAAAATCATACGCATACCTCCTATTGTCATTTAAAAGGTAAGTAATGAATAAAACAGTGTTAGGGCTCAATAGCAACTATCTGTAGCATATATTACTAATATCATAGTGATATCGGTAATAACTACCTGGTGAAATGGCTTGGAAATGATTGAACTACAAGATAACTAGATGTACATTGTAACTCAGAATTCTGAAATGATAATAGATATCTGAACTTAAGCTCGATCAGCTAGTGTTGTCAAATGTTTCAGTGACTATATTCCTTTTATTTGCACCCTGATATTTTGCAACCTGCTCTAGAGCTAGATTCTAATTGGTAGAGATTGAAAAGAAATATGAATGAAATAGGTTTAAACAAATCACCAGTTATGAACTTGCTTTAGTATCTCCAGTATATACTAGTTAATAGTTTCCCAGTCATTTCTTTGCTTTGTTAGAGGTTTCGCATGTACTTTTACCCAAAACAACACATAATGATGTGACAGTATTAAGAAAAACTTCTTGTGAACGGACCTGATTATGTGAAATCTGTCTGATACACCAGAATCTGGATTGCAAACCAGATGGTGTTTAGTTCTGTCTACTCAAGGCTTTTATCAGTTTGAATAATGATTTTGATAGTTTTTTTATCAATGTACTCTCATGGCTGCAAAAAACACAAAGAGTGGCTAGCTGACTGGGTTCACGTTATGTTAACAAAATAATTAGTTTGGACAATACAGTGCTATTGTTGTCTGAATCTAATGACTGTTTCTTTTCTTTTTCAGAAAATTTTAAACATAAAAGATTAAAGCGATCTGTGCAAGATTTATCTAGTGTAAATAGACATTTTAATTCCATTATTAAATCACGTCATAAGAGATCAGACTCTTTAAAACGTTATGTAGAGACTTTAGTTGTGGCTGATAAATTGATGTTAGATTATCATGGAAGTGATGCACAACATTATGTTTTAACTTTAATGGCCATGGTAAGTTTTTCATAAATCTCTTTTTTGTTCTCTTTCCTTCTTGGAAAGCAGAATTGGTGTAAATTTTAAATCAGAACCTTTATTTGCAAAAATAAATGACAACATAACACATCACAAAAAAATCTAAAGGACAAATTAAAACATGAAGTAGACATTTTATGTAGACTTTAGATTATATATAGTTAAATAATTTAATTCACTTCAAACATACAATTCTACAAACCTTCGTGAAGCACTAATAGCAAAGTTACAAACTTGAAATTGATTTGGTAAACTCTAAAGCAGATACCAAATATCACACTCTTACACTCATATAAGCTGGTAAATATACCTGTATGACTGTATTTACATTTAAGGGTCAGAACTAAGCAGCTTGACAGTTCAAAAATCAGATTTTCTGTAGACAATAATTTAAACTAAATTCACCTACATTTATGACATAATGTCAAGGTCACTAGTCTGGAGACTTGTCTGACTTTGTTAAAATATGATGTTAAATGAATTGTAAACTATAGCTAGGAACTTTATGTATGAGAGATACTATTTGTTTTCAGAATAGGACATAGTGAGCTAATTTTGTATAATATCTTTGGTATTGCAGTCTTTCTTTTAGAAATCATAATGATTGATTATCAAAAGTGTTGAACCTAGAAGAAATACTTGTTCCTAATGTGTATTTAAGATGTAACATTCGGGAATTTTGTTTCTTAAATTCTATTTAATTTTTGGTAAAGGCTATAATTCACTGCAAACCCACTGACCTTTTGAAATGACAATTTCAGACATTCAAATCCAGTTCTCGCAATAAAAATATACATGGAAAACCTACCTAAGACAACAAAAGGGAACTAAAAATACTATGGATTACATTCGTAATCAATTATTAGTGTAGAATTCTTTTGAAGTCTTAGAATTAGATCATTTGGGCTTTCACCTCTTTGTAATGAATAATTCTATCTTTTTGGTGTATCACAAGCCTTGATATGTAACTAGTTTGTTTCAGGCCAATCACATTGTCAACATGTGAAATTGTCCCAGATACATGCTGTGACAAAAAGTTGTAAATCTCAAATTTGATATTATACATTCAGATTCCTTAGATTAAGAAAACAAAACATGGGGATCTCTTTACCCTATCAAAATATTGTGAAATTGTAGGAATCTGCAGAAAAGAACATGGGCACTACCCAAAACTAAGGACTGCATACCAGCACATATGGCAATAGACAGAGATATGTTGCAATTGTATCTAAATGATGTTTTATTTCTATACAAACTTTGTCAATGATATCCTTATATCTAGAAGATATCAAACCTATTTGCACCCTTATGATTTTGGGAATGTCACATGTTCAAACTTAAGCTGAGATGATACATGGTTTCAAAAAATGTCAAAGTTAAGGTCGATCAGAAACACTTTATATTCAATCCCATATGTATACATGTATCATTCCAACTAATCAATGTATTTTAGTTGACCTGATGCTTTTGTCTGTTCAAATTTATGGAACTAAATCATGGATGTTCTCTACTATGTGGTCCTTGGTCAAACCTTTTAGCATCTGGGGACCTGTTCACAGCGGGGTTGACTGGATCAATGAGGAAAGATGACATTTCAGGGTCACTTGGGAAATGAATACCAATGACTAGTTATTGTTCAACATAACCAAGCAAGATTCCAACACCAAAACAGACTGAGCTACAGCCTCACATCTAACTTATCATCAAAAATATTTATTGAAACTTCTCATATAAGAAATATATATTCATTTTTAATGGAAGTACCATATTAACAATGAACTCGAACATATTATCGGTTTGATATCAAAATACAATTTTCCACTGGAATCATTATCAGATCTGATAAGAACCACTATTCTGATAGAACTTAATACACATTAAAACAGGTTTGGCACAAGTTGATGAAGAAATCAGATTTTAATCAGATATAATATTTGATTGAATTAAGATAGAAGGAATTATAATCTAAATATCTTGTTCAGAGATGGGATTTGGGATGAGAGTGATGGTTTTTATGTTCTTCATGATTTATAAATTAATATTTCTGCCGTTCCTATATGACTTTGACAATAGGTCATCCTATTTCTACTGCTTGAAACATAAAATACATCATCAGAACAGCTGGTAGTCAAATTGGAATGAAACTGAAAAAAATGAATGAACTATAATGAGAAAAAGAGAGACATTTCAAATTAAAGGGATGGTTTAGATTTTAGGGCACCACCAGAAGAACACTTTGAATCATACTGCTCTTTTCTGTACAGAATATACATGTAAATCAAATCTGTCATTTTAAGAAGTGGATGGTTATATTGAGGAACTGAATTACTTTCAAAACGGACATGCCATTTTTCAACTGATAATTCGAAGTCTTGGGAAAACATTGGTAAAATTGAAGATTAAAGAAACTTTATGGTGTCTGATAGAGGTGAATTGGTCATTGATTAGGAGAAATATAGTCTGATTAAAAACTGACCTGAAGTTTTTATTTGAAAGGTGCAAGGCTGAAGAAAACTTGACTTGATTTCTTTTTTGAAATAAAAAGTTAAAGTGCAGTACAGAATTAAAAACCATCATTGAATATATGTCAGTTGAATAGATAAGTAAGGATATATACAGTAACATGAAAGAACCAGTAATAGGTAAATTGACTCAGTTCCAAATTCAGTACGACTGCGTCTTCTACTTTTTTTCAATTAGAGAATATATCTCAGTTGCACTGTTACAGAATTTGATGGAATTTCACACCAGGATTTTAATTTATTTTGATTCCTTTTTGCACTGCATCTTTTTTATATCTGTTATACTTTATATCTATTATATTTTATATCACCATATGAGCTGGAGGCTTGCTACCTTAACTGAAGGTCTAGGTAAAGATATACCTATTTTGAACTCTAAAGCCTTGTTGCTACAGTTAATGTAATCCATGTTTGTCTTAACACAATCTAATCCAGAGGGTCCGAGTAAGGAGAAAGTTTTGTTGATGAGATGGTGAAAATCTTTACTTAAAAAAAAACACTAAACCAAATATTTTCTAATGGGTCATTAAAATACAAAAGAAATGTGAGGTTAAATGATGATCTCAGATTACCCAGTATTGTTTTGATATGATCAGGTTGTGGAATCATTGTCTGATAATTGGACCAAGATCAAGTCAGTGGTTTATAACATAAAATGGAAATTAAAATTCTTGTTGATTTGATCCTGTGCCAAAACACAAAAACCAGATGCTCCACTCATAAAGACTAACTATTTAGAGATGTTTAACCTTCAAGTTTTTATGTACCAGCTAAATCTGCTGTATTAGCTAAATTCCTATTATTATTATTGATTGAGCTTGAGCAGTTGTTCCTGAAAAAAAGAATCAAAGAATCATTGCTTTGTTTATGAACTGTTCAATATGGGTGTCACTTTGACTTTTACACATATACATATATAAGATACATAGTGATATTTTTGCATCATCACATTACATGGAATTTACTCATTGACTATCAACATTGTATAATTACCCATTTTTTCACAAAGAACAGACTACAGTTGAGTGATGACCTCAGTCAACAGCTGCAGATTTCTGAATATCATAATAATTTGAATCATTTGCTTATTGAAAAATAGATTTCACAAAACAACTAATTACACCCACTGGACTGATTTGTTCTCTAAATTGGTACACTAGATTGGTAAACTAGACTAGATAAGTGCACTAGATTGGTACACTAGACTAGATTGGTACACTAGATTGGTACACTAGATTAGTACATTAGATTGGTACACTAGATTGGTACACTAGACTAGATAAGTACACTAGATTGGTACACTAGACTAGATTGGTACACTAGACTAGATTGGTACACTAGACTACATTGGTACACTAGATTGGTAAACTAGACTAGATAAGTGCACTAGATTGGTACACTAGACTAGATTGGTACACTAGATTAGTACATTAGATTGGTACACTAGATTGGTACACTAGACTAGATCAGTACACTAGACTACATTGGTACACTAGACTAGATTGGTACACTAGACTACATTGGTACACTAGATTAGATTGGTACATTAGATTGGTAAACTAGACTAGATTAGTACATTAGATTGGTACACTAGACTAGATTAGTACACTAGACTAGATTGGTACACTAGACTAGATTAGTACATTAGATTGGTACACTAGATTAGTATATTAGATTGGTACACTAGACTAGATTAGTACACTAGATTGGGGTACACTAGAATAAAGTTTTGTTCTGTTCTAGACTAGATTAGTACACTAGATTGGTACACCAGACTAGATCAGTACACTAGATTGGTACCGTACACTAGACTAGATTAGTACACTAGATTGGTACCTAGACCAGACCAGATTAGTACACTAGATTGGTACACTAGACTAGATTAGTACACTAGATTGATACATCAGTGTTTTGTTTCAGAATACTTACTTAGATTTATTATGTTGCTTTATTCTTGAGTTTTACATTGAGACTTTTTTATTTTCTAATTATGAATTTCTTGTTTCTTGAAGTGATATTTAAATATCAGTAAAATTGTTGCTGAAATAGTTAAAATATTACTTCTGTTTGTTAAGTATCTTGCATACTTTAATAATGTGTTGAACTGATATGTATATTCTAGAGTAGTAGTGAGTGGTGTGAGATATAAACTAGAATATAGGTCACAGTTCCCATGTGAATATCCTGACATTGCAATTTCTATGTTGTTTGGGTACACTATAGTCAAAGATAGAAAAGAGTTGAAATGTTGTCATGGAACTACATCTGGTTGTCATATCCTTATTCTACTGATATTCATTTTACAATATATAAAAGCTTTACACTTTTACCATGTATAGTATAGGGTGGTTGTTTTTAGTATTTACTACAAGACACTTGTCATAATCTCTTGTTTCAGATAAACTTTAAAAAGCATTATGTACTTAGTTTGTCCGTACTCTTTTCTTTCTGGCATTGAAAGATAAAAAGTTATTTATGACAATTGTACTCTGACGTTGTGAGACAACAACTAACAATCAAAGGCTATATTAGCAAATGGAAGTCAGGTTTAGGCTCCTCCAGATACAGCCATGGAGCCATGACACAGACAAATCAGCAGCTCTAAGATTAGAAAAAGCGTAAATAGTTCTAAGATTTAAGTTCTAAGATCATGAAATAAACATTGTAAATTATAGTAGAATATTAAGATTGTTATTTATATGATATAATAGATAAAAACAAGTTAAACCTCTTCCTTATTTTTACTCACTATATAGTTTCTACATACTATGTTTGATCATTTCTTATCATCATCAGAAACACCAGCAAGGCCTGATAATGCCCTCTGTGGAATGTTTCAGATAGACATTGTAATATTGACTTTGATCTGCTAGTGAATAATGTTATTCAAGTTATAAACATATACTTCATAAGTATGGTGGTTGACACCACTAGCAAAGTTCACCCTTCTGAATGATACCAATCTAGGATTACTGGTCGCATAATGAAGAGTATTAACTAATAAAGGTGGTCATGTGAGCAGGATTCACTGTATGCATTTGATTTTGGCAGTTCAGTAGCTAATAATGGTGATTTAGTACATCTACTATTATTGAATGCCAATTGAAAAGATTACATCACTAATTGAAGTTTGAAAATTTAGATGTAGAACTCAAATTTGTTTTATTTCAATTAGTTATCAATTTGAACCAATATTAAGTCAAAATCTACACAATTTGTAAAAGTACCAGATAAATATATTAAGTTTTTAACATTAGTGTACTCTATAAACAGGTAGCATTTACCAGAAACTGATAAGACTTATCACAAGTACACCATTAGTAAGTTAAAACATGGCACTGGGACCATGTACAGAACCACTAACTATATCATTTCAAGATAAACATTATGGTAATGGTGTAAATACATTCTAGAATTAAAACATGCCAAAATTATAACTATTTAATTGATTAAAACAAATACCTTTAGTTTACTGTACTGATTAATAACTTTTCAGTAAAGGTGCATCAGATTGGATCACTGACCGTTTCTACAAGTTTCTGTTAAATTCAGATGATTTAAATTTTATGAGGGGAATTTTAACTGTCTTCTGATTGAAGTTATTTTATTGTGACCATTAGGCTAAGTTTGACTGTAGTGTACTTTAAACTTTGAAATTCCTGGAATAGTTGATAAGTCACTTTAACATATAGTATAACCTGTTACACAGAATAGTAATGTCTGGCCCTAGTGGTACCATAAATACTGATAACAGTAACAATAGATATGCCAATTAGTACCTAGATATCAGAGGACTAGTAAAATACACTTTTTATGATAATTAGAAATTGTAATGGTCTTGGTAGTACCATAAACACTCATAATGGAATCAGAACATATACTAATTAGTACCTCTATACAGCATACTACCTGTAAAAGATCTTCAGAGATGTATGCATGAAAATACCAAGTCTGGTTCCATAGATACCATGTATACCTCTAAAAACCAATTAGTACCTAGACAGTAAAGGTCTTAAATCTTATTAAATTTTATAATAAATCTACTATGATATGACATATAAACCTAACATTCATTGTAATACAAGGCCTGCAGATATTTTACTGCCTTTGATCAGTTTGTAATAGTTATGATTCTGGAACTATTTCCTGTAATCATGAGTTAGAGTTAACAGCACCATATGCCCTGTGTGGAGTGTGTTTGTTTACACTAGTTAGCTGGAAGGATAAAAAGGAGCAAAACTACCACCTTACAGTATTTAGACCACTAGGTCAAAACGTTTTTCTTCAATAATATATGTGTACCTCTTGATATAAATGTCTCTTTAAAAAATAAAGCTCTGAAAATAGGTGCTCCATCAACTAATAGAGCTCAGTAACAGCTATCTGGAGTACTTGTCAGAATTAAAAATCTGACTTACTGATTGTTACAATTAAACAAAAATACACTGTTGAATTTGCCACACTTCCATAAGATAACTTTCTCACTGGGTTAGTCTAGTCAAATGGAAGTCAAATGGTTTTGTTAAATAGTAAAGAAACTCAATGAAGTAGAATGGTTTAAATCAGAATTATATCTTGTCTTATTTTATAGATTAATATACTATAATAATTATTATAGTAAAACATCAGAATTTTATTAGATGATGAAAGAAAAATAAACTGAAAATCAGAAGTGAATTGAAAGATTTCAACCTTTTTTAGTCGATCACTATGATGAGAAACCTAGAACTTTCAAATTGATCACTTGAGAGGGGTCGTATTTGATAAATTTAATGACACTTACATCTTTGTCAAAGTCATCATTGAAACAAAATTTTATTTTCTAAAAGCAGGAAGCAATTAGAATAAAAGTTATTACTAAATTAGGCCTAATATTAATAAATATATGCAAAATATTGCTGTTAGATGACATAGTTGATGACGAATATCTACCCATGTTCAAATATTAGGTTGAATAATCAAAATCAAAGCAAACTAAACTCTGAAGTTCAGGCTGAACTACAAGAATAATCAACAATGAAGACTAATTGATAAATGCTCGGCTTTTAGTTTTTCAAAGCTTGATTCAAATCAGCTGGTTTGGAAATGGCGTTTGTTTTGCCAATGTTTGACTTATGACATCGTAGCATGGCAAAGTAACGGACATGACTGGCAAGGCAGCTGAAAAGGTCAGTTTAAAGAGTTTTACCACGGGGTGCAAAGGTAAAGATGCAAAACAATTTGACACTTAAACAAACCAGAGGTGTTTTTGTAAAAGATAAAAATTGATGTCTAATCTGTAATGTAGATGTTTGATTTGAGGACAGATTCAAAATAAACACATTGAAAATAAAATTAAAAAAAACACTTAAATAGTATTACCAACTAACTTTTTATGTTTTCATACAATTTGGGGTGGACTTCTCAGTATTTGATGTCAAATCAGACTATAAGAGAGTGAACTCTGGAGTATATTTTTGAACAATTTGATGGAGTGACACTGAACTTTTGGTCAAAAATCATAAAACGAGAGAATGAGAATAACACACATCTTTGCCTAAAATGAAACATATAAACTAAAAAAACATCAAATATATTATATTTGATAAATAATTACACTATATCTTATTACACATAACATAACATTTGACCTTGACCTCCATACAAATCTATATAATGAATCCTAAATTACTATGGTTGATTATCAGATATTTTCTAAACTTGAACCTAAAGGCTCAATAAAAATTGCTATTGAACTTGTTTGATAGGTTATGTTATCAAAATTTTGCTTCATTACAGTAAGATATAAGTTGTTTCAGTTAATTTTACTGTTTTATTTCAGGTAACCAGTATATATCGTCATCCTACTATAGAAAACTTCATTGACATAGTTGTCGTTAAATTATTATTATTAGAATCTACACAGGTAAGATCAAACATAGCTTCCTCTGATATATTGTGACAAACTCACCATTGTCAGCAACATTAACAATGTACTTTGTCACCTCTATTAATTGAAGAGCTCTTATAGACAGAAGGTACACTAAGTTTTTAAGATAATCCTATCTTCATTCTGTTTTCTTGTTCAAAATATTTGAAAATGTGGTTATTAGTATAGGAGTTACTCTAGAATTATAAGTTTAATATCTTAAATAAATCATTTTTTTGATAACGATTCTTTAATAAACGTTTGATTGGATTTCAGGTAGGACCTCCAGTTAGTGCCAATGCTGCTAAAACATTAAAAGACTTTTGTCGTTGGCAAGGAGAAAATAATGAACCTACGGATAGTCCAGGTCATCATGACACTGCCATTTTATTAACTAGGTAAATATTGCTCATTTAGTACCTATCTGCAAGTATTTAGATTTGATTAATGTGATTGTTTCCTAAATTGCATGAAAAGATTTATCATATAGGGTAAATCTAAATCTAAATGTCATTGTACTTTAAATGATGTATCTTTCTTTAATGAATGATCATGATTTGTAGACTTTAGACTTCTGTAAAATAAAAAACAAATTTTATTGAAGATTTAGATCTTTAGTGAGCACTTTTAGATAAAATCAATTGATAATTACTTGAATCTAATTACAGACGAGATATATGTAGAGCAGAAGGTAAATGTGATACTTTAGGTGAGTGTTATGTATTTCACATTACATGCAAAGCAGCCATAGTTTATTATAACATTTTTTTTGCAAACACAAAATATTGTCTTCTAGCCTGTAAATAAATTGTTAAAAGAAGTTGTAAACCAGTTTGTAAACCAGGAAGTTTGGCTATCAGGGCCATTCTGGTATTCATATTATTACATTTTTATTTGCAAACTCAGGATGTTTTAATGAACCAACAAGAAACAAAGCAAACAAAAACTTTCAGAAACTGAAGTCCTAACTGACGCTCATATAAAGGGGTAACAATTACAAACTGGGTAACCAAGTCAGATCAGCTGGGCTGGCTCGTTTCATATGACCAGGATCTAAATCTGAGCATGTTAACCCACCTTACTTTTGAAAGTCTACTTCTAGTTTGTTATTTTTGTTAATACATTTCAAAAATTAATAGTCATTCTGAATAACAATATTATTTGCACACAGGTTTAGCTGAATTGGGAACAATTTGTGATCCTGTAAGAAGTTGTTCTATTATAGAAGACAATGGAATAAGTGCAGCTTATACTGTTGCTCATGAACTTGGTCATGTGTAAGTTTTAAGCTCTTTTCATTTTTAAAGTGATATCTGTCTTTTCATTTATCTTCTGACTGAATATGCCTTTTTAAAAATATATCTTTTTTCTCAAATACAAATGACTAGGAAACAACTGAAATAGAAATATAAACCATCTATTGTTTTTGTGAATAAAATAACTCCACCTGAAGGGTTAAACTATATTCTATAACTATACAATGATGATATATCATCTCATGTTAAAAGTATAAATTATCATTTGTCTTCTTCTTTCATGAATATATGAAATGTCAATAACTCTAGAGACCAACAATTCCTCTCTAAATTTCACTAAGAAACTAATAAAGATTTTGTTTTCAAGCTCTTGTGGGATATGGAGCAGATGAAAGATGAAAGACAATCACATTTGTGATTATGCCAAAGGCCTGATATGATGTCACATATCAATGTTTTTTGGGCAGATTACAAATGATTCATCAATCTGTCATGGCTACCATGTCATAGAAAAATCACATTATTTTGATGACATATTTGATAGAACTCCTAACATACAATTGTTAAGTTTATCAAAAAAGGAGTCATAACAGTCTTATAAGGTTACCCATTTTTTAGAGGTCAATCATACTGTGGTCTCAGAAACAGGTATTGTTCAGCTGAGCTTATCAGTTACTGTGTTAAATGCTTATCCTCAAAATTTGAAGCCATGTGTATCCTTAATTATACCTGTTTGAAATGATATTTAGTATTTTAAAAAAAAAATCAGCCATCTTATTAAATGGTTAATGGGCCACACTATTATCTTGTAAATGGTTTGTAGTAGCAGGGCCACCCTCGAATATATCTTAGTTTTTTTGTTCTTAAAAATATTTGGTTTCTAACATCAGATGTATGCAAATAGTAGATCATTGGGTGTTTCCTCCAAAATTCTTTTCATCTCAAAAAACATACTTTTCTCCATGCTTTGTTTTTGTTTGGCATTTATTCGGTTATTGATGGAGGTTGGAGTCTTGTCAAAAATGTTGAGAATTCACTTATCATGCTTATAATTACATTAAATGATTGCATAAATGAGCAATTAGAAATACTACTCAATTCACGTCAGACTGTTGCTATGGTAAACATCTCAACAAATCAGTTGCATTATCTTGGCAAAAATATCACCTAAAATTAAGATTAGTTGGTGTGCACAAATTCTTTCAATTAAGATTCCTCATAAAGATATAATAATATATATAGGCTAATAGGTAAATATGCATTTAGTGCACATTTGAATGTATCTTGTCGAAGCTGGTATCTTCTTAAAGCTGTAGTTTGGATGCTATTATGTTGTTTTTTTGACAAATCTAATTGTTTGTTATTAGATAAATATTTTCTCGAAAGATAGAAATAAAACAAAACAACATGCCTGTGGTTTTATGATATTGTCTGTTGGCAAATTGTAAAGTTTAAATGTTAGCTATATAAATTCAGTATTCTAGCCATATCCAAAAAGTTTATTCTTATTGTAGGCAAACAAAGATATTTTTGAACATCTGAGTTGGATCCTAAAAACGACTACAAATAGTCTTAGAGGTGACAAATAATATCAAATAGTATCAGCCAAAGAGTAAGCCAGAAGGGATCTTTGATCATGACTTTTTTTTTTTATCTTTTCAGATTTTCTCTACCTCATGATGATGATATTCAATGTAAAGGATTTAGAGGTCGTAGAATTGGTAAAAAATATCATGTTATGGCTCCAACATTAGATTATAATGCTAGCCCCTGGGATTGGTCCTATTGCAGTGCCAAATTATTAACCCAATTTATTGAGTATGTCTTTCTTTTTCTATTCTCTTTATGTACACTGCTACAACCGAGAACTTAACAATATTGGTAATCTCCCTTTTTTTCAGAGGCAGTTTGTCAATTTGGAGAAAACCTATGATGTAGAATAAATTGGATGTTTTGCACTGGGTATTATGTCAATGAAATTTTAGTATAATGAAAAATAGTTTACTAACACTAATTTTACTTTACAGATATATATTACGCTAAGCTTCTTCAGCATATTCTTTGAATTCTAAACCATGAGCATATCTCTGGAATTTTTGTTCATGAGCATTTTCTGGAACATAAAAATTGTACTTATACTATAAATTCTTAATTTTGGAAGCTTTATATTTGGTTGATTTCATATCCAATAAACGATTTTTTATTCTTTACCCCTATGGTGCAGTGCAGGTCTTGCTGAATGTCTCTTAGATCCTCCCAAAGTTCGTAAATATGTGAAAATGGTGGATGATAATCACCTTAAAGCACCAGGTCGGCTGTACACTGTAGAAAGACAATGTGAACTGGTATTTGGTGAACAATACTCAATTTGTCCCTGGCATTCAATGGTATGTACTGACTTGAAATGTTCAATGTCTTTTATTATTAGTGTCTGTCTACATGTATTTAAAATAGAATTAATGAAGCTATACACCTAGCTAGTTATTCATCAATGAATATTACAATGAACTAGAGATGAATACACTTTGTTCAAATTTGTTATAGGGAAGTTGTGAAAGATTATGGTGTACCAATAAAACTAATTCATCTTCTGGTTGTCGAACAAAACATATGCCCTGGGCAGACGGTACCAAGTGTGGCAGTAGAATGGTAAGCCATATTTTGAATACTTTGTTTACTGATTATTTAAAAAATTTTCTCTCCTGCTAATGTGAAAAATAAATGAATTTCCAAAATTTAGTTCCTGGTCCTGTTCTTTTATGTAAGCACTTCCTGTTGCAGAGTGCTACATTATGATTAAATCAGAATAACTATTGATACTTCTGCTGCTGATAATTTGATATAATATATATTTTAACAGTGGTGTAAACGTGGTAAATGTGTACCTATGTCTGCTAGTCAAATGGGACCAGCTGTAGATGGTAGTTGGGGAGATTGGGAGAAATATGGACTTTGCTCTAGAAGTTGTGGTGGTGGTGTGAAATTTAAAATCAGACATTGTAACAATCCAACGTAAGTAACTTTGTTTGTGTTATCCTGCTTCTATATTTGCACTCAACTGTAAAGTTGATATAGATACTGATTATACTGACTGTGTCTGTTGACACACAGTCACAGATGAACCAGAAGAAAGAACATGTCCAGGTTATACCATTGATTCAAACTGCAAAGATCATCTTGAACAAACATACACTGTACAAGAATAGTTGTATATCCTTCTCATCTTATAAAGGATGTATATTTTGTCCACTTAATTTTTTGGAACCTAAATAGTTACTTTTGGAAAATATACCCTTTCCTCTGAACAGAACAAAAAGTTGCCAAATTGTATAATGAATGAAAATATTTTTGTCCTTCATTTCATTTCATTAAATTCCTCAAAAAATCTTGTGGTGTAGTAGACTGTAAATTGTTAGATTGGCCAAAATATCTGAAATACTCTAAACTCTGAAATGAGAAAAATTTCCAGTATGATAATAAATTGTATAAAAACTAACAACTGGGACAGGGTCAAGTAGAAAGGAAATGAACTAGAATAACAATCATTATTTTTTCACTTATATTTTAATTTGATGAAGAATTTATTAAAGTATACTACTATTTCTCTGGTGATTATTTCTGTTGTTTTGAGTTTGATTTAGACATTTTCTTTTCAAAATTCTATATGATAGCTGCTTAGTTATGATAGCTTTCACCTGCTATTCTATTTTAATAAAGTGATCTGAATTTGTAGGGATTTCTGATGTTAATATCTGTTGATAATATTTCTACATGTTTATTCTTATTATAAATTTAGGCCATCCAACCTAGGAAAATATTGTCTTGGTAAAAGAAAGAAGTATAAATCTTGTAACACTAAGGTATAGAGTTTAAATGATTTGAAGACAAGATTTTCCTTTTTTTTACTTTTGAATTAAATTATTTAAAGAAATATCTCAATTTAAAAGATAACAATAAGTTTTAAGTCAAATATTTCAGATGTTTGATAAATTAAGTGTTATTTTATCAAGCCAGATCATCAAAATATATTCTGATTAAAATGTATTTTTGTAGCCATGTCCGCCTATCGTAGTTGATTTCCGTGAAGAACAATGTAACAATGCTAGTCAAAAAATTCATATTAATGGATTACCACCAAATGCTAAATGGGTTCCAAAATATTCAGGGGGTAAGTCTCATTTAATTTTCTTTCTTTTAAGATTTGTATGATGATCAATAAATTGTGTATGTCCTCATGTAGATGTCACAACTTCCTTTCTGTTATTGGCTCAAATATTTGTCTTATCATCCGCTAAAGCACCGATTCAACCAATCACATCTTTTTGTAGTTTAGACTTACATTACTTCAGAAAGGTTATTGATATTTTCACAGGCAGTTATAGCCACTGACATAATAAAAATACCAACACTGAATACTAGTATCACAATTTCAGGATCTTAATATAACAAGATGATACTAAACTGGATATTTTTAGGATATTCTTTAGAATAATTTTTTTGCAGGCATCTGTCTTGGTGCTCTAATAGCTGACTGAAAATAAGGGTAGCAATACACTTAAACCTTTTATGATTTATACATAAACCTTGATATCTATTCTGTTAAATTTCAGTACAAATGAAGGATGCATGTAAACTATTCTGTCGAACTGATCAAGGTTCAGCATATTATGAACTAGATGATAAAGTTATTGATGGAACTAAATGTTTTGCTCTGGAAGATGATATCTGTGTAAATGGCAAATGTCGAGTATGTATTTATTATAACAATTAAATCTTGTTATAGGGTGCATAAACCTAAAATAAGATTATCTTTTTTGCTGAAAGATTGGATAACAAGGAAATATGAAGAATATATAGTATTTGGAAAGCAACATGAAGGCACCCCTTTAAAAGAAGCAATATTGCCTAGTATTGATAACTGCAAAATTTGATAAACTAAACAAATAGCAGAATTTCTCTTATGCAACAGCTACACTTGATTTTTTAAGATTTATCAAGTGATGTTTTTTAATTCTAGGCTGCAGGCTGTGATAATCGTCTAGGATCTCAAATGAAACGTGATCAATGTGGTGTTTGTGGGGGAGATAACTCTTCGTGTAAAACTATAAGAGGGACATATAATAATGCTATCTATGGTTATAATAGAATATTAACTATACCAAGTGGTGCTACAGATATTGATATTAGACAAGTTGGACATCGAAACTCTAAAGATGATGACAACTATTTATGTAAGTTTTAACATATGATATTTAACTTTTTTTTGTGTATCATCCAAATGCAATAGCTCACAATATATCATATTATTGAACTCTTTTGATAAATGCAAACACAAACAACACTTGACATTTTTTAGCCATCAGCATCACCATCACCATCAGCAATGGTAGATCAGTGAACCATGGTGACTGCCTATAATGTGCACACCCAATTGAGCAAGGGCTTTGCACACTATAGTCCCAAATATATGGTACAGTTCATTATTAATCTTGTGTCATTTGTGATTTAAAATTTAATTGATATTCTATTCAAAATTTCAGTGGTAAAGAACTAAACTCTCTGTTGATTTAATGAATGATGTTTTTAATTTTACAGCTATCAGTAATGCTAAAGGGAAGTATATATTAAATGGTGGATTTGTAGTACGTACTGAAAAGTTTACTATTAAAGTACAGAGTGGTGTATTAGATTACAGTGGATCCAGTGCCTATGTTGAACATATTAATTCTACCAGAATGATAGGAGAATCTATTACCATATTTGTAAGTCAATAATTATCAGAATAACAATAAAGATGGAATTATTGAATGAGACTACTATTCATTTTGTTTATCTTGTTGCTTGTATTTACAACTTCTGAATATGATACTGATATTTTTATGGCCTACTTTTAGCTGGTACTTTATGCTTTATACAGAGGTGGTCTTTTTATCTTTAGATCTATACAAACGCGTTTAACAATCTGCTTTCATTCATTGAAAATGAATAAAGAGAATTTTAATGCTGATGTACTGGCAATATTTCCATAATTGCACATTGTATTGAATTGTCTTTCCTAGAAAAATGAGGAAGAGCAAGGTACATGTAAGACATAATTCCACCTTTCCACTTGATGAAGGAAACAGTTAAAGGTAGCGACAGTAGCTACCGTAGCGTGTGCTAAGAGGAAATTACAAAACGTTGATCCATGAAATAAGAGTTATCTCCCTTGAAACACTTTTTTTAAGACTTTGATATGCTTTGATATTTCTATATTGCTCTACAATTGATGTATTGAGTGCTATTTTAATAGTCAAAATATAATTATTATAGTACTCTATGTATTTTACAGGTATTGTCCGTTGGTCAACTCAATCCACCCAATATAACATACACCTATAAAATATCAGTAGGACCTAATGTACAGTATAGATGGAGTAATGAAGGCCAATGGAGAAAATGTTCTAGAATCTGTCAAGGTAGGCTACAATCTTCCTTAGTTTTCTTTCCTGATAAATCCAGACATTTAGCTTGTTATAAACTTGTTCTCATTGTCTAAGTGAATTATTGATGCAACATATATTTGTGTTTATTTCTGACTTTAGTTCCTTGTTTGACTGTGATGTTTATATAAGAAATTTGTTTTCACAGAAAACCTTTTTGGATTAACAAGAATGAATTTGTCACATCAATAAAGTGAAAAATTTGACCAAGAAATATTTTGCACTGTTTGTGTATGTAGTCTAATGGCTTTTACAAAACTTGCTCATTATACTTCAAGAAATTGCAAATTCAAGAACACAAATTAAGTAAGATGATTTTTGTGATTTATTTGATTTTTGAAATATAGGTACACGTAAAAGAAAGATAGTATGTATAAGAGAAGATGATAGATTAAGTGTATCTAAAAGAAGATGTCGTGGTAAACCTAGACCAGAACGAATGATAGAGAAATGTAACACAAATTGTGAAGTTTCGTAAGTCTTCTTTCTTCTTTTGTTAATATTTGATATTAAAACTATTCGATAATAGGATTGAAAGAGAAATGATTGAGAATAACAATAAGACTTATGTGGAAATTGTTGAGTGATGATGGTGAAAGTGTATTAGTGTATTAGTTCTCTGTTTGATTGATAACAAATTTGTGTATATATGTATAATTCCTGATATCCATTTCTGTTTTTATTGGGTTAAAAGCTAACATCCTCTTTGCCTGAAAGCACAATTTTGGTTTAAAACATTATTCATAAACACTCTTCTAGAGATACAATTAAGTCAATAAATTCATTGTTTTTGTGCTTCAAAAGGAAAAAATGAATAAAAAAGAAATGAAAGTATCTAAGTCAGTTGATACTACGGAAAGTGTGATAAATCTTATTAATTATATTGTAGTTGGAGAGCAGTAGATCAAGAAGAATGTCCAGTGAGATGTGGTACAGCTTTAAGAAGACAATTTGTTAACTGTATTAAACAAACGTCATCAGAAGTAACTGATATAGATGATAGACACTGTCGCCATCTAGGAGCTAAACCGAATGACTATGTAGAATGTCATGGAGAATGTTTGCCCACAACTTGGACTTATACTCTCTGGTCAGCTGTAAGTTTTCTTTCTCGTGCAAAATACATGTATTTGTTTTAGAACACTTTTGAAGCTCTTGAAAGTGTATAGCTGATACACATACTCTTTGAGAGGCTCTGAAGCAAAATGGACTACCAGCAACTGTGATCCATTGGATGGTGGCAAATTTCAACAATTGATCAGATTCCTCCAGTTGCCGCCATTTGCCAGTTTTCATTGAAAATCCAGTTACTTTGCAAACAGCAAAAATCAATTTGAAAGCATTAACGGCATCATCATGGTCATTTACCATTTTCCCATCAGTTAGCATATAATTTGCTGTATTTACAGTGTAGTGTAACTTGTGGAACTGGTAAACAGTATCGTCAAGCTAAATGTGTTGATGAAGCTGGTAAAGACCTACCAGAACATGAGTGTTATGTTAAAGATAAGAAGATTGTTCAAGTCTGTTTTAAACCAGAATGTACTTACTGGGAAACTGGAGACTATACCGGGGTAAGTTTGTTTTAAACCAGAATGTACTTACTGGGAAACTGGAGACTATACCGGGGTAAGTTTGTTTTAAACCAGAATGTACTTACTGAAAAACTGGAGACTCTACAGGGGTAAGTTTGTTTTAAACCAGAATGTACTTACTGAGAAACTGGAGACTATACAGGGGTAAGTTTGTTTTAAACCAGAATGTACTTAATGGGAAACTGGAGACTATACTGGGGTAAGTTTGTTTTAAACCAGAATGTACTTACTTGGAAACTGGAGACTATACAGGGGTAAGTTTGTTTTAAACCAGAATGCACTTACTGGGAAACTGGAGACTATACTGGGGTAAGTTTGTTTTAAACCAGAATGTACTTACTGGGAAACTGGAGACTATACAGGGGTAAGTTTGTTTTAAACCAGAATGTACTTACTGGGAAACTGGAGACTAAACAGGGGCAAGTTTGTTTTACACCAGAATGTACCTACTGGGAAACTGGTGTTACGGGTCCAAAAACTGCTACTATAAGGGAGATTGTTTTTAAAACACCAACTCTTCCATATATCTTGATTGATCCACAAGAATTGTGTAATTTTCTTTGGTTGTCTCAGATTTGTGCCCTACACTTCAAATTTTACTATATAATTATTTAAGTTGGGTAGGTTTCCATAGAATATTGGAATGATTTTCTGATGTGTAACTATATGATATATAATTATATTAACAGTGTACAGTTACTTGTGGACGTGGTAAGAGACATCGTAAGATCTGGTGTAGTAAGAAAGGTGAAATGGTCAGTGATAATCTGTGTGATAGAACTCAACGACCTCATCCTACCAAAGAATGTTTTATGGGAGAATGTCCAGAATGGTTTATTGGTGGTTGGGGAATAGTAAGTCTTTGTTGTTGATAAATTTCAGAACTTTGACATATAAAGGGTGGAATGTAATTGTTGATAGTTTTTATTATTTAATACTATCCCCTTTTAAGAAAAGCAAAGCAAATGGTGTTTTCATTTTATAAGACCAAACTGTACACTAATTTCTTTTTTTTTCAGTGTTCTGTATCATGTGGTAAAGGTCATAAAGAAAGAGCTGTAAAATGTCGTCTGAAAGAAGTTCTACAGGATGACAGTGTTTGTGATGCTAGTAAACGTCCTGTTGATAGACAGCCATGTTATCGTGAAGGGTGTGGAACTACAGTTGGTCTACCTATACAAGAAAAAACAACTCTTTATCCTCAACAAGCTTACTGGAGATTTGGAAGTTGGACAGAGGTATATAGATTGTGCAAATTTCATGGTTTCTACTGTATGTTATCATTATCAGTATATGCAATGCTTTTATTTGTTCCTGTACTGAATTTTTTTCTTGATAAATTGATTCCAGAGCTGCTGAATAGCCTTGACCTGACTATGTCTATCATAGAAGGTAGCAGGTCTTATCTAATGCTGATGTTATCATCAAACTTGTCAGTGAAATTTGATTTGATATTTGAATATGATTAATTCAATAAGATTTTGGATCTACATTTCAGTGTTCATCAAGTTGTGGTACAGGATCTAGAGATAGATTTGTGAGCTGTATGGATTATCATAATAGAAGGATTAAAGATGAGAAATGTAGTCATCTTCCCAAACCAGCTAGTCATGAGAGCTGTTTTCTTACACCCTGTGGTCATTGGAAGACTGGTGACTGGACTGAGGTTAGTACTTCATTATAAGGTAACATGAATATCGCCATATGGTAAGGATTCAGAGAGTAAGATGCTTGCTAAAAATACAGAATGTTCAGAGTTTGATCTTGGCATTGGAATTGATAAAACTTACAGATTGTCCCATGTACCACTGGCAGTTCATGTTAAAGATCCCTCAATAGTTGATGTTAATGCTGATATCAAAATTCTTTCATTGGACACTGCATGGCACTTTCTGTCATCATAAGCCTGATGTAAAAGAAAAAATAAGCAAAAATTCATTTTTCCATATTTGATCTATCAAAAAACACGATCTGAGTTTTCAGATAACATCACTTGGATTTTGGGTTTCATATTGCGGCTTGAATCGTTAATACTTAAGGTTTTAATTTATTGCAATTAAAGTGTACAGTAACATGTGGTGAAGGTATTAGAAAGAGACAAGTAAAATGTATGTTATTTGGTGATGTTGTAACTGATGATGATCAATGTGACTTATCCTCTAAACCTCTACAACAATTTCACTGTAACCGAGAAGATTGTACAGTCAAAGAATCAGATAAGGAGGAAGACTTTGCCATAGCTGTTATAACTAGTAATGATGTTGATGGTACAAGTCATTATAGAGTTGGTCCATGGAGTCCTGTAAGTATTTTATTCTTTTAAATTTAGTCTGTAACAATCATTACTATGAGCAAAATATAAAAAGAGTTCCTTTAGTTTGGTTTTATTTGCCTGTATGTAGCAGATTTGTATTTTTAATCAAGCAAAGGTTCTCCAACTAGAGGTTAGCACTATTTACATTGATTAAGGGATTTTTTCACTAGACATTCAATTATCAATGCTGACATTTTGTGTTGTATGACTAACAAATGGTTTTAGCATAAATGTCTGTAGATAGTAGTGGTATTAGAAGTTTCTGTAAACAATGATATGATGTCATGTTATATATCTTTCAGTGTTCTGTAACTTGTGGTACTGGATGGCAGAGAAGACAAGTGGTATGCCGTGATGAAAACGGTCCCAGTAAAGATTGTGATGAATCAGTGAAACCAGATAAAATACAGAATTGTGAAACTATACCATGTCCTAAATGGCAGGTAGAAGACTGGTCAGAGGTAATTATCTATCTATCTATGTATGTCAGCTAAGTACAGATCTTTGTTGTGTTATTGACTACAATGTTAATGTTTGACTGAAATACAAGTCTTCAAATTTCCATTTACTCCATTTAGATACTCTGGGTTTTTTACTCAGAACTGTTCAAATCTGAAATTCTAGTATTAACAGTGATCAGATGAATTCATAGAGTTTAATTTGATTCTTTTCTAGTGTTCAGCAGAATGTGGAGCTAAAGGAGAACAGACAAGAGAAGTGAGATGTAAACTAGAAAATAAACAGATTTTACCCAATATCAACTGTGATATCAAACTACGGCCATCAGATACTAGATTATGTAGTGGTACTTGTACTAGTGGTTCATATCATTGGCATGTTGGATCCTGGTCCACGGTAAGGAGGAATCCTAATCCTTATTCTAGACCCAGATCAAATCATTACTCACGATCACAATCTAGAACTCAAACACCATCTAACTATCATCATTCACAATCACGTAATAGTCTTCCTAGTCATAATAGACATTCTCCTACACATACATACAGATATAATAGGTCACATAGTCATCCTTCTAGCACTAGGAATACTGCAGCTTATGCTGAATATTACCGACGTAAGGCATACATTGAGAGACTTAGACGTCAACATTTAATTAGAAGTGCTAGACTAAGACAATATTAGTATCTCCCAGCTCACATCTTGATTCTTTGATAATATATTTAAGATAAACCGTTTGTAATATTTCATATTTGATGTTAATTACTTGAAATTTAATTAGTAACCATTGATTGTTAAATTGTTGTAAAAGAAAATATGTTTCATTTAGTCATAAAAAATTTGAAAGTATACTATACTAGTGTATTTTCACAAGGGAGCTACATATATCACTGATAGTAAACTATTGAAAGTTATTAAATTGTATTGTGTCTGCCAGTACACCTCCTCTTGTTAACATTGGAAAAATTGTGAAGGTCAAGGTAATATTTTAACAGAACTAGTTCATTATAAAATATTTGATCTCATTCATACATCAATTCTTATCGAATCTCACAAAAAACACAATGAACATCAATCCCATGTTAAATGCTTTTACCTTTTATGGTAAGCAGATGGCATTAAAATTTGAAATATTTGAAGAGGAAATTTTGTGAAATATATGAGGTAAATATTGATGAGATGTTGAACATATTTGGTATGTGTCATGTCAAATATATAAGAGTAAATATGTATGGTAAATTAGTAGAGCTAGGTCTGGTGTAGATCTTCATATTTCATGATTGATACAAACCAAACAACTTCAGTCTTAAAGACGGGTTACCTTAACTTTTTAAACTCTCTTAGATATTGTCTGTTAAGTTTGATATCCAGCTCATCTCTCTTGAAAATCACAGTGGTATTAAGTTCATTACATTAGAAATATGATGGGGTGTATAAGCTTTTTAGCTATACCGGTTATACATATTTCATTATGCCTTTAATTTCAATAATTTCTAATGATTTGGCTCAAATTATTACACTCATCAACCGTGATCTGATGAAATCTTTCTATTAATTGTGTACAGTCAAATTGTGTCATGATTTTTGTTTTTAAATCTTAAAATACAGTTAAAAGTATGTTATTAGTTGAAAACAATGTTAAACACTATATACCTATGTGGAGGAAACAAAGCATTTGATTGGTTGAATATTTCTTTTGGATTTATATTTTTTTCCATATGGAAAGTTCTTAGCATTTTTAGTTGCATATTACTTGTCTCTGTATTTGCAATGAAAATTCAATAATTAATAATCGCTTAAAACTCTGTTTCAACTTTCAAATTTCGTATTTGACCCCAGTAGTAAGGATATACTTTACATGCTGTACTCTTCCTTACTTAATAGTTGATGAGTTCAACATAAATACCTCAATTTTACTTTTCTCATAGAGGTTAAACAAACTTGACGTAAATTGATAAACAATTTATCTTAAAACCACAAAAATGTGATGAACTTTTTATAAGAATAATCACCAAGACATAAAATTGGCTACCTTCAAACCTCTTGTTGTATATTGATGAAGTTGTTTTACCTGGATAATCTAAACTTTACCTCTGGGAATTATCTGACCTAGTGCTCTAAATTCCTTTTTTACAAACTGTCTGGATATCACAATCTATTGGCCAATTATCGTCATATCAACTATTTCATTATGACCTTATGTACTCTATTGCCCTTTCATTTGAATTTTTGCCAAAATGTCTGAGAAATTTTCCAGTCGTTAAAATTGTTCACACTTTTCTTGCCAAAATGTAATTTGTACACTTTTACCACTGAATAAGTAGAGATGTTGAAATTTTCACTTCATTTTCTAAATTACTTCAGTTTCACACTGTAATTGAAGTAAATAATTGCTGAGTATATAAATGATATCATATTGTTGACTTATTTTTACCTGATTGAAATTTATGTTGAATTAGATATTTTGATGAAATACTGTTCAAATTTTACCTTCAAAACTGTAATTGAAGTTGAAAATGAATGATATTCTCTATATCTTGATTTATTTCATAAGAGCCTTGTCAGTTCAGTTTTCTCAAATATTTCTTTTGTAGGATATTTTTATGTTTAATTTCTTTACAACAATTTTCTATCATTTTATCATCCATCTGTAATGATTGTTCATCTTATTTATTTTCAAATCTGTCCTGGTAAAAACTCTTGTATTCTATTATGTCAAAAAATTTACGAATAGGAATTCAAAATGATAGCCTAAGACTGCTCAATTCTGTAGGCTATATCAAATTATTGCATTTTTGTATATTATTGACCATTGGTTTGATCAAATCGTAGAATTAGGATTTTGTTTTATTAAAAATGTTGTAAATAATTCATTTAACTTCATGTAAATAATTACAGATAGTATTGTAAACTGTATAAATCATACCAAAGATATAAATGGCTAAAGTGCTATCTCTATATTATATAATATGGTTAAATTATTCTATATACATGTCTTATATAACTTCTACTGTATGATACTCAATGTAAACTCTCAGGTTGTGAATTCAATTTACCAGAAAGACAGAGTTGCTTCCCTTGACTGGGTCTGGCAGCTCTGTCTTTCTGGCTACTTTTTAAAAATAATTTCAGAATGACCTTTGCTCCCAAATGTAATTTGAAACCGATGTTTAATTATAGATTATTTAAATGACAGATTCTGGGGGGTTTCCTTCAATAATTTACCATAAAATACTAACAAATACCCTCCCCCTTTATCATGCATTAAACTTCAACAGGTGGTTACATATGTATTGGTTGAAAGATGTTAGTAGGAGGAGTTATCAATTGTCAATCATGATTATTTATGTTAATCTATGTATAAGATTGTTTAATGAATTAGTGGGTGGTATATTCCTATCAAGGTTTTATGGTAATTGTAAAGGTGGAGGTATGATTAGGTGGATCTGGATTCAGCTGGTATTACTAGTCTTGTTAAAGTTTTGAAAGTACACAAGACAGTAATTCCATCATAGAAAATTTAGAATGAACATCCATATTGTCATGGTCGTAGACATAATTATCTCTTAGGCATATCTCAAGTGCTCAAAGAGCTATTGCACTTAACATAGCATGGGAAAAGTTCTTGACAATTGTTAAAAATGAAAATAATGCTTGGACAGAAGTGTTTTATAATTGACATCTGAAGTTGTCTTCATCATTTAGAAATGATCTGCAAAAGATCAAACCAGTAAAAGTGGCGCTGATTTGTTCTGGTTCATTGCATGCCTCATATTTGCTGGTTTAATGTCATAAGTCAACTTTCAAACTCCCCCAAAATTTGCATATTGCACTTTCAGACATTCCATTTATATAAAGTATATTTTTATTTGAAGTATGTTTTTTATTCTCATGAAGTGTGAATAAATTGTGAATTTTGTCTAGTAAGTAAATTGAATGTGCTAAGCTGGCAGGTATTCGATATAGTTTATAAGAGTCTATAAATGAAAGCGGCCGGTTGATGGAAAATGTCATGTGGTTAGTGATAGTAAGATGGCGTGGTTCCAAATTGTAAAGATTTCTCTCTGGCTTATATAGGATACAGATGGTAGAAGAGGGAAATAGTTATATAAACTTTTATAACAGGTCAAACTCCTCAAGTTTATATTCCAATGTCGACTTGTTCTAAGTGAAATATGTAATGAGTATATTAATTGAGAGAGTAAACTGTTAGTATTACTCTAGTTTATCATGCTGTTTCTTCTACTTTCATCTTTATCACTATTATACACATAACAGTTTTACATTATTTAACAAATCATATGTAAGGGCCCCCATGCTGTGAATTATATCTTAGCACCATATCTATATTGTCTGTTTAATATTTTTGTAAACATGTCAAATTCTTGAAGAGAATTCGATGATCAGTTTTTTACTAAAGCATTCATATACCCTTTTTGAAATGTTTCATATCATTTGCAATGAAATAGATCTTTGTATCCTCAAAAAAACAGGTAGTCTGTTCTTGTGATCCAGCTGTTCACCAATCAGTCAAAAACAATGTATTGTCATAGAGATTCCACTTAGCTATCTAATAGCAATAACTTTGGGTTAGCACATCACCATCCTTAAAATCACTGTGGTTGGGCTTAAAGGACAAATACTTATAATCCATGACCTTGAGTATTACTGATATTAGTACAATTACAATTTTATCATAGCCTGTCTACCTATAGTACTCTATTTGAAATATGTCTCGTTTATCCAATGCCAGATCTGACAAAATGATCTTCTCTCATTACAGTGTAGTGTAACATGTGGACGTGGACAACGACATCGTACAGTAGCTTGTGTTGATCCAGATGGGAATGAACATCATACTTCTTTATGTCCTAAGAAGAAACCACGTAATACTAAACGATGTTTCCGTGGATTCTGTCCTAGATGGTATTCTGGAAGCTGGAGTAAGGTAAGTATTTGCTAAATCTAACATTGGACTTTTATGCATCCTTTGAATGGTCAATGAAACTATGTGCGTAATAATTAAAAGATACGTAGTCAAGCATAATCCATTTGGCATTCATTAAATTCTCGTAGAAAAAAGGTAATATAACCAAAAAGTAGAAAAGACTGGATTTACACTGAAAAAGCTCATTCTTTATTTATTCATTTCAGTGTTCTGTTACTTGTGGAAATGGTATTAGAGAAAGAGAAGTATTGTGTCGAGATAACAGAAGAAACAGAAGACGTATTCTAGACCCATCACTCTGTGCTGGAAAACAGAAACCACCAACTAGATCAAACTGTCACAGAAAACCATGCTCAGAATTTATTTGGAAGGTTGAAAAGTGGAGTGAGGTACACAGTTTTTCATAAAATATGAATTTAACAATAAGTAAGAACTGCCACTCATGCATTGCTGAACGTCAAAATAACCTCGGGGAATATAAATGTAATCTTTACTTAGTGAAAAATTTTCAATTTTTATCATCAAGTTGTTCAGTAATATTATGGAAGTGATTATTGATGGAATTTTGGAACTCTTCCTTTGAGAAGTCCTCTACTATACATTTTTTACTCCCAATTTATACGTAATTATACGGAGCCCTTAAGACGCAATTTTCCAAACTTTTATCAAATATTTTGTTTTAACGAAATAATTAGTTTGTTTTAACGAAATAATTAATTTGTTTTAACGAAATAATATCATATATTTCAAAAACTTTTCGTTTAAACGATTGAATTATTTCATTTAAGTTATAAGTTATTCGATTAAATGAAATAATTATTTCGTTTAAACGAAATGCTTAATTCGTTTAATCGAAAAGTTTTTTCATTTGAACGAAATATATATGATAATATTTCTTTTAAACAAATTAATTATTTCGTTAAAACAAAATATTTGATAAAAGTATGGAAAATTGCGCCTTAGGGGCTCCGTACAATTGTCTCGCTTGTACACTTTTTTTTTAACTTTGGAATTTCAGGTTGTTAAGCATTTTTTATTATTATTACAGTGTTCTAAAACATGCGGCTTTGGTCGTAAAGAAAGAGATGTAAACTGTGTTGATCGTCAAGGTCAACCTGTGACCTCTCACCTCTGTGATAGTGAAAGTAAACCTAAAGTCAGACGTAGATGTAGTGAATTTCCTTGTCCTTATATTTGGAATGCTGGACCATGGTCTGAGGTAAAGTTGATAAAATCTTGAAGAACATAACCATAGTTACGGCAAAAATTTCATTTGAATCAAGACCACAGTGGTCTGACTAATACCTAGACATGAAAAAATAATGGTTAACTAGTAATCTAGATATAAGGCTAGTGATAAGTCTAATGAGTTTCATTGTTATTGAAAGACGAATAAGTAAGTTATGTTGTAGTATTAACTCTGTCTTTTATGGGTGTCAGGCAAACTAATCATTATGCTTATTGTACACTATAGTTGTTGAAGTGTTAGAACTTAACACAGTGGATAGAAATTTATAAGAGTGACTGTTATTGGACGTCATTGTTTACAACATGTATATGAATTTTTCAGTGCTCCTCAAAATGTGGACAAGGTCATCAGTCACGTATTGTGGTATGTCAAGCTGTTACTAAGGAAGGTTGGATTCTACCAGGAGAGGTGAAGAATAAATGTGAACTCAAACATCGTCCTACCACTTATCAATATTGTAATTTTGGAGAATGTAATGCCAAATATCGTTGGAGAGTTGGTCCCTGGGGAGAGGTAAGAGTTAAACTCCAGTTTCAAAAAATGTAAAAATTCATTGTTAGAAAAGGGCAAGGAATTTTTCAAATTTAGATTATAACAGATGTATGATGTTTTTTTGCTAATTTTAGTTTATTTACGTCGAATTCTATTCTCTGTTCATTTTCAGTGTTCAGCCAAATGTGGAACTGGTAAACAGAGAAGAATGACTATTTGTGTTGATAAATTTAACAATAAAAAATCACGAAGACGTTGTGATATGCGATATAAACCACCTTCATCTCAAAACTGTTACACAAATCCATGTAAGTTACTTTTTGATTTAGTTCAACAAACCTTTATTTGGGACATTTAAAATATTTGTATATAGTGTTTATTTATTCCAACCACCAGCAACAAAAATATAAGTTTTTTTAATTTTCTATATCAATAAACTCAGTTTTGAAATTTGTGTGTTTTTATAAGTTTAACAGGCCAGATCCTTTTCATTCTAGTATTATTAAGGTATAGACTTGTAACTTCTGTCTACAGGTTATGCTAGATCATGTAAAGAATTAAAAGACTTAACCACTATAAGAAAAGATGGTGATTATAGAATATTACTAAATTCACAATTAGTCTCAGTAAGTATTATACTAAATCATCGCAATTTAAACTTTGCTTGTCAAATTCAGTCACTTTACTTTGGACTAAAAGGAAATGATAATATTTGTACATATAGAATTTTGATCAACTCAACTCAATTCTATAAGTATATAAATAACAAGGATTTCTGTTTTCTGTTCATTGTTTTAGAAATAAGAATGAAATTTGTAATAAATAGTCAAAATGGTTATATGCTTACTATTTTATTATCCAAGTTTAGATCTATGTTTCATGTGATGTAAAATGTAAAATATGTTTCATTATTATCTTTCTTACACATTTTAAAAACTGTTTTATCTTTTCAACTATATGGTATGTTTAACTTTTAGATATACTGTAAAGATATGCGTAAACCGACACCTATAGAATATTTGTCTCTACAAGAATCAGCTGATGATAATTATGCCGAAGTTTATGGCCAAAGGTACATTTTGTAAAGCTTTGTTTATAATCTATAAGCTGCGACATGAAAGTGATTCTTTTTTAAGAAATTAGGTACTACAAAACCAAACTGGAAATCCATAACACATACTGGTAATACATTGGTAGCAGCTGATAAAGAAAAAGATTCCTAAAATTGGAATTTATCAAAGTTAAGCTTTCAATAATATGGTGATAAAAACACTGCACTTAATAACTATTATGTCATGGTTGTTATTGCAAGAGAGGGGTTATTTCCCCTTATGATGTATGAAACAAAGAGAAAATTGATAATCTTACAACAAGTTCCAAAATAAATACTATATTGTTTGTTTTTTCTCCACTGCAGACTACGTCGACCTGGTAAATGTCCTTACAATGGAACACGAATAGATGATGTAAACATTGTCGTAAGAAACCTTATCGTCAAGCTGGTTTCACCAAGTTTAATAAAATTAGAATTGATTTAAATACACTCAAGCTAATCAGTAAGTATATATTATTTAAGCAAAAGATGATACAGTACATTTAGTGTTAGTGATAATAATTAATTTATATTATATCAGCTGAAGATAGTGTTAATATTAATTTATATTATTTCAACTGAAGATATTACATTTAGTGTTAGTGATGATAATTAATTTATATTATTTGAGCTCAAGATAATACATTTAGTGTTAGTGATAATAATTAATTTATATTATTTCAGCTCAAGATAATACATTTAGTGTTAGTGATAATAATCAATTTATATTATTTCAGCTGAAGATAATACATTTAGTGTTTGTGATAATAAGTAATTTATATTATTTCAGCTCAAGATAATACATTTAGTGTTAGTGATAATAATTTATTTATATTATTTCAGCTGAAGATAATACATTTAGTGTTAGTGATAATAATTAATTGATATTATTTCAGCTCAAGATAATACATTTAGTGTTAGTGATAATAATTAATTTATATTATTTCAGCTGAAGATAAAACATTTAGTGTTAGTGATAATGATTAATTTATATCATTTCAGCTTAAGATAATACATTTAGTGTTAGTGATAATAATCAATTTATATCATTTCAGCTTAAGATAATACATTTAGTGTTAGTGATAATAATCAATTTATATTATTTCAGCTGAAGATAATACATTTAGTGTTAGTGATAATAATTAATTGATATTATTTCAGTTCAAGATAATTCATTTAGTGTTAGAGATAATAATTAATTTATATTATTTCAGCTGAAGATAATACATTTAGTGTTAGTGATAATATTGATTTATGTCATTTCAGCTCAAAATATTACATTTAGTGTTAGTGATAATAATTAATTTATATCATTTCAGCTCAAGATAATTCATTTAGTGTTAGTAATAATAATTAATTTATGTCATTTCAGCTCAGGACAATACATTTAGTGTTAGTGATAATAATTAATTGATATTGTTTTAGCTGAGGATAATACATTTAGTGTTAGTGATAATAATTGATTTATATCATTTCAGCTCAAGATAGTACATTTAGTGTTAGTGATAATAATTAATTTATATTATTTCAGCACAAGATAGTACATTTAGTGTTAGTGATAATAATTAATTGATATTATTTCAGCACAAGATAGTACATTTAGTGTTATTGATAATAATTAATTGATATTATTTCAGCTGAAGATAATACATTTAGTGTTAGTGATAATAATTAATTGATATTGTTTTAGCTGAGGATAATACATTTAGTGTTAGTGATGATAATTCATTTATATCATTTCAGCACAAGATAATACATTTAGTGTTAGTGATAATAATTAATTGATATTGTTTTAGCTGAGGATAATACATTTAGTGTTAGTGATGATAATTAATTTATATCATTTCAGCTCAAGATAATACATTTAGTGTTAGTGATAATAATTAATTTATATTATTTCAGCTCAAGATAATACATTTAGTGTTAGAGATAATAATTAATTTATATCATTTCAGCACAAGATAATACATTTAGTGTTAGTGATAATAATTAATTGATATTATTTGAGCTCAAGATAATATATTCAGGGTTAGTGATAATAATTCATTTATATTATTTGAGCTCAAGATAGTATATTTAGTGTTAGTGATAATAATTAATTGATATTGTTTTAGCTGAGGATAATACATTTAGTGTTAGAGATAATAATTCATTTATATTATTTCAGCTCAAGATAGTATATTTAGTGTTAGTGATAATAATTAATTGATATTGTTTTAGCTGAGGATAATACATTTAATGTTAGTGATGATAATTAATTTATATCATTTCAGCACAAGATAATACATTTAGTGTTAGTGATAATAAGTAATTGATATTGTTTTAGCTGAGGATAATACATTTAGTGTTAGTGATGATAATTAATTTATATCATTTCAGCTCAAGATAATACATTTAGTGTTAGTGATAATAATTAATTTATATCATTTCAGCTCAAGATAGTACATTTAGTGTTAGTGATAATAATTAATTTATATTATTTCAGCTCAAGATAGTACATTTAGTGTTAGTGATAATAATTAATTTATATCATTTCAGCTGAAGATAAAACATTTAGTGTTAGTGATAATAATTCATTTATATTATTTCAGCTCAAGATAGTACATTTAGTGTTAGTGATAATAATTAATTGATATTGTTTTAGCTGAAGATAATACATTTAGTGTTAGAGATAATAATTAATTTATATTATTTCAGCTCAAGATAGTACATTTAGTGTTAGTGATAATAATAAATTTGTACCATATGGGTCATCAGGTGATTGTTACAGTTCACATGATTGTCCACAGGTAAAATATTTCTTTGATCAATACAATTTTGTTTACAAATGTGTTGTACAGTTTTATGCATTAATACATGGAACATTTCTTTGTATCAGATTTATTAAAAAGCTTTATGGAATAGTTCTTCGAGAACAAGATAATTAGTTGATGAGAAATATTTTAATCGTTATATGATAATTGATCAAACACTAAAATTATCTTCTTTCTTGTGAGTATTTTGAAATTAGATATATGTTAACAAGTTTTGTTACATTTTTGTAGGGTCGATTTAATATCAACCTGGTAAATACAGGTTTCATTGTCTCAGTAAATACAACATGGATATTACACGGTAGTAAAGCTTCTCAACGTATCTGGAGATTACGAGTAAGTTTTATATGAAAATACAACCCTCTGTGGTATAATTTGGAAAGTCCAATCTCAATTTCTGTGCTTTTTCCAATGGTTTAGACTTACAGAAACCTTTTATTGTTTTGTTTGAAATGTGCTTCAAATTCAAGTCATAAAAAAGTAGCCAGATTAAGGTATCTATGCCATGATTGTTAAGTTGTAAGTTGAAGGCTATTAACAGAAATTACAATGCCTTGAACAAATGATTGTCCTTCCACTTGACCTCCTACTGTCATTCTAACAAACAGAATATTTTGATTGATAAATGGTGTGTGGTCTGTATGTATGTGTATTATGTGTATTCCAGGATGGAGAAATTATTAAAGGTATATGTGGTGGTTATTGTGGAAGATGTTCCCCTGATGCAGACTCGGGTTTACAATTACAACTGAGACCATAGTTTATTACTATATTTAGGTATGTAAATCAGAAAATGATTTGTTTCATGTATGTTTTTAGGTAGATAGAAAGTTATATGTTACAGTACAGGATTCAGGTTTTATATTTTCATTGAATACTCAGTATACTATTCATGTTTTGAATTTATCATGAAAACCCTACAAATCTAAATTACTTATGAATTATCCTCACATTCCCTTAATACTACTAATATACAGGTACAGCTGTACAGTAACAACATCTTTCAGGCTCTGTACATTTATTTATCTATTTTTTTTTTATTTACAGAAAATTTAGATATTATAGTCAATAGTCATGCTAGTGGAAAGAAGATTTTTAGATTCAACATAAAATATGTATATAGAAGATTAAATTTTGTGACATTTGCTTATTTTTGTTTATAAAAGTGATTATTTACACTATTATGTAACATTGGAAGAACAGGCTAGTGATTGGATGTGATTTGAGACATACTATAACTCAACTTGGTTTAACAATCACTGAACAATGCTTGTTGTCTATTGTAAGGAATGTGCTATGGCAGTATTGACGTAACATGTGTATTTTTATAAAGCTGTAGAAACATAAAGAATATTTGTGTCAGTGGCTGTAAATTTTGAAACACCAACATCATTTATATTATTTGGAAACTATTGCACGTGTTAAAGAAGATTTATTTAGTGAACCAAGTTTAGTGTTCATTTTACACATAGAGTGAACTATTGTGTTCAAGACAATATATTATGTGTCGTCTTTTATGCTGAAAATATTAGTCTTCATGTCAATATACAGTGTTACTAAGAGGTTGAAGAACACTAGTGTTAGTGTTACCGGTCAGTGTTAAGATTGTGACACTGTATTTGCTGGACAATATTTATCTGCCATTGATAAAACTTGTATATATTTTGTGATGATATTATATTTTGTTGTTATCCGTCCGTAATAGCAGCAGATAGTAAAGCCATAATACGGAATTGGAAAAGGATGCCTCTAGGTAATTTTTCTGAGAAAAGGAGCTGTCTATGAAATAAAAGATATTCAAAATTATTAAACCTCGGGTTAGTCCTAGAATTAGGCCAAAAACATATACACAATTATTTATCAAATTTGACTTCAATTACTCAATCAAATCAAATACATATTGTATATTTAAAAAAAATAATTATATCAAAGTTGGGTATAAATACTGTACTTTTTATGGATTCAAATATTTTAATGGAAATGAAACAAATTAACATACCTAGATTACTGATAATGTAACATATTAAATAACCTTAACACACATTTTATTTTAGAAAAAGAAGAAAATTATCACTCTATCAAATTATTCAAAAAATAGAATAGAATTAAGAAAAACGTTTTTGTCTCGACTACTCATAAATTTGAAGTACAGTTCAAAAAACCCTAAATGGTGCAATATCTTTTCATTTTTGCATTTAAATTTGCTATTTTTTACTTTTATTACATTTTAATTCATGATATTATTATTATACATTATATTTTATTTGCTTTGTAATATTTTAATTTTTATGAATTATTATTTGTTCATAGACTTATTTTAAGTATCTGCTTTATGATTCTTAAAGAAAAGATTGTCATAAATATTATATTAGACATACCGGTATATTGAAATGTTAAATTGGCTAGTGTGAATGCTGTTTAAATAAGAAAATGATATAATGCACAAGCTTTACACTGCCATTGATTTAAATAATAGTTTAAATTCAATATCTTCTTTAGTTACTCTATAGCTATTCAAATGCATAAAGCGAGGTAGTATTTAAAGGGACAGGTGTACCATTTTGGGTGGTTGATTTGAGTCTTGAATATCTGCTTCAGAAGTACTAGAAGTAATGAAAATTACACAATTCCTTCAAAAAGACCTCAAACTAGGAATTTTTTTTTCTATTTCTTTAGATGACTTTTCCAGATATGGCAGTGTCTCAAGAAAAGACACTTGTCTTTTTAACTTTCAAATGCAGATAATTCTTGACAAACATGGATTTTAAGGCGCAAATTTTGATAGTGAACTATGAACACTATTACTGATTAGCTTAGCTTAAAAATTCCTGTAAAAAATGGTGTATCTGTCTCTTTAAGCAAGGTAGTATTTAATTTAAGCATGCATAGTACTTAGATCATTTTGTTCAATTCTTCCAAATAGTCATATACATTCTAGACCCTTTTACAATCCAACCTCAATAGTTGGTAATATTTGAAGAATTGTTTCAAAAATTGAACATTGATGAATGATTTTCATGAAATATTCTGAGAAAAATGTTTCCCAGATTTGCACGATTTTATGATTTGTTGATTTCACAGCATTTAAAAAAAATAATATCAATACTACCTACTTGCATTTTATTACTGAAATTTTAATAATATTTTCAAACAATTTTCATTTATTTTTATACTATTATATTATTATTATAATTTTTAATATAAAAATCACTCATAGTTTATGATTTATCATGGCCTTTATCTTGCTGTAATTAGTTTTATTATATGATAAATATTTTATTATATTTGAGTTTAATCAGAGTTAAATACTACAGTCTATTCAGTGTATTTGTTCTAGCATAATAATATTTCCATTATTACATTTTATAGTGTTATTACCTACTTATACTCTACCTTCTTGTTTATTCATATAGCTTGTTAGGTATCTTTCTCTATGACCCAATCCTAGATGATCTGCCATCAGAATTGTGTGGATAGGGTTAGATTCTCAGATTATCAGGCCACTTCCACTTTATTTTAGAATGCCTACATATTATGCGGTTCATATCAATGTTTAAATTTTAGAAGAAATACTTTGCTTATTTTCATTTTTTGGAAAGTTTATATATTAGTATTTCAATTGAAATAAGATTAAAATCTAAATTTGTGAAGAAATATTTCATTTTTTACCCTTGAATCTCAATGTTTTCACATGTTGTTTATTCCCTTCGGCAAAACTTAAACATTGTTGAACTTTGCTTGAAATTATCTACATATTATAGTGTCATGTAATTTCTTATTCAATAGTTTTTGTGATAATGTTTAGGTATTAGAGAAGACTTAATACTGAAATATTATACATAATGTATTATACAATTATTGTTGTAGTACACTTCATTGAAATATGTCATTGTATCATTGTATATTATGTTACAGTATATAGATATCAATAGCCTCAAAATTTATATACATAAAATTCAGGATTCATTTTAGACCATTGATGGTACAACCCTAACAAACATATTTGAGAAAGGAAAAGTACCATATATAAGTCAGTATATAATAAAACATTGTATTTGATAATTAGATTAATATGTTGATTCATTTTCTTTGGTTTTCAAGTTTTTATATTTCTTTAAAGTTTCAATTTTGAAAGCACAACTATTGTCAGACCAAGATATTTTTGGTATGACTGTTGTGTATATAATTATATTAATTATGTAAATAATGTAAATATTTAATGATATTGTGTATGTTGTTATTATTTATAATTGAGTATTTGTAGTATATGTTATATAAGCTATTTGTGTCTATTGTGTGCAAGTCACTAGTTTCGATGTAAGTAATTTGCAATCATTGTTTTTACGATGTAATATATATGTTTTTGTAGTTTTAAGACTTTTCTTTCATTCTTTGAAATTTTAATCTGACCTCTTGCAACACAAAACAACAATTAAAGCTACTTTTTGAGCATGACCTAAGCTAAGATTCCATATACACGTCAAATGTTGAAGTCAAAGCATGAATAGTCCAAGTACTAGATCAAGATGTATCAAGTGAATGTTTATTTTGTCAGCGATACCTTTCAGGTATCAGCGGGACCGACAAGCACTTTCCTTATACCAAAGTACAATAGAACTTAATTGCCTTGAGAAAATAATGGCTGTGGACAGTATAAAATATTTCATTGGTAATCTATAAACACTAAAAGTAGCATTTTAAACCCATTTATTTAAAGTTTTTCAAAGTTCAATCTTCCCCACAGCAGTAAAAATAAATATTTCATTGTTCAACCACAAAATATATACATCTCTTATAATAAAACTTAACAATAAAAATACATGGTACAAACATGATTTTATAGGCCATTATGGTTACATCTGATAAAATTGGACATTTTCTACTCATCTCATTTCATCAAATTCATAACAACCCAGCGTTTAACATTAATCTTTGATATACTAATAAAATTTAATACATGCACAATTAACTTCTAAATATCATTGTTACATAAACCTTAATTCAAAGAAGCATGGAGTTGACTAAGTTTGTCTTTCAATTGACCAATAAAATGTTGTTTATGTTAGTAGCGATTTTAAGTCTCTTATGCAGGTCAACAACTGGCACAAACTGTTAAAGATCAAAATAACCTCTAACTGAATTTCCAATATTTACCATAGATTAAAACCAATATATATGAATTCCAATAATTCTTTTACAACAAAAGATTGAATTGTTAAAATAGAATACAGATTCCTTTTTCTTATTTTCATATCAAATGTGATCAGAATTTTTCTGAATATCCCAAAATCACAATTTTATCGTTGTAAGTATGAGTATTTCAAAGTTGTTAATGGATATCTGTACATAATACATTGACATTTTAAAACATAAGACTTCATTCATATAGGCTGAGTTAAGTTGGTGCAAATATGTGAGGACATTGATTGAGAGAATATCTGGTAGTAAGGTCAATTTTTTCATGTCATATATTTAGTGGATTTGAACTTGTGTGATTTTCATTTTCAGCAGTG